ATATATATATATATATCGTAACAGGCCTTAAATATTCTGAAAACTAAATCTTATGACCACTTGACTACCTTGTGCACATTTTAACTATTGTTGACCTATATCTTGATCAATAATGGGACCTCTACGCGATCTCACTGTAAACAATTCATTATTTTCATTAGGATGCTCTCTCTCATTATCCTGGAACTGAACTCTGTTTATATATTGTTCTTGCTCCTGAGGCTCAAGTTGGTGGTAGTGGTGCAAGTCCCTTTCATCATGGTGCTCACCCTGAGCTGCCAATATTACAGCTTCTCCTACTTCATTATCAATTACCACCTCTCTGTTCCTACCATTCATATCTTCACCGAGAATGACATCAATGTCTCGGTCCCTCCACATGTGCATTTCAACATTACCTACGATTTCATTTGGTTGGATACCTTGCCTACCAATTTCTTGATCTTGACCCATGTCCCATACCACATTCCCTCCATTTTCACCAGTTCTCTGCTTTTCATTAGTAGTTTCAGTTTTATACAGTGTTTCGTGGCACAAAGGACATGAATCTTGAACATATAGCCACTTCCGCAAACACACACTGTGAAAATAATGGTTGCATTTTGTGATTTTAGCACTACGCAAACCTTGGAAACAAATTGCACAAACATCGTCATGTTCATTAAGTTGTTCTTGTGTTGCCTCTGGTAAAGAGTTAATTTTGTTGACAGCTGTGCGTCGTTTCATAAAGACAGTCCATCCATTTCTTGCTTCACACCATATATTAAAATAAGCATGAATGCACATCATGAATGCACGAATGGATCCTCCAGACTCAAAGAAATAAATCCAAGCCCCATTAAAGAACAACAAAATTCCAAACACAAATTCTACACTATTCCCAAATGCTTTGATGTAATAAACATAGTCATCTAACCTCTCCCAAAAGGTAATGCAATAAGCATCAACAAGAAACAATGCATAAATCAAAAGTGACACTAGGGTTTTAACTATGACTTGTATTGAAAAGGCAGAGACAGCAAGTAGCCACGTCGAAAGGGGATAAAATGACCAAAGTACAAATAATAGCAGTACCGGAAGGAAAACAAGAAGCGAGCAAACTATTAAAGCTCGGACATGTCTGTAGAGAGCTGGATTACGTGATGCACTCAGAGACATTAAGACAGGATTAACCATATTATGTATAAAGTGCAGCATTGCTGTAAAGAGAAGACAGAAATTCCTACAGAGTCGAACAAATCTTTTCTCCCCTTCCATGACTGTCAAACCACTTTGTTCAGCCAAAATAAAAAACAGGATGGCACACACTGTCCCCATGCTTCTCTCATCATCTTCTACTGTCAAAAGAATCATCTGGAACACTACACCAACATAGTGACTTACATAAGACACAATACTCGTCATGCCAAGAAGTGCCACAGCAGTTTCACACCCTTGAGTCATTACAGCTTTGAAGATGACATAGACAGCTTCTAAGTCTAAAGTCCAGAGAGACTGATACTCTCCTCTAGCAAACATGAATTCTCCCAGCAAGATTACTACATGCTGAGCAACTCGAATTATCCAGAATGTTCTTAACACATTTGGTACATTGAGTCGTACCCATTCCGATTCTAAGAGGGAATGGAGGCCAAAGTCCCTCATTATCCTACGAGCATATTGATAACCTTCAATAACTACCTGAGTGCATTTCAGCAAGTTACTAGCAACAGTGTACTTGACTATAGCTAAGGGGAGCAAGGCTGCAAACAATGGTATTGTGGAAAGTACCCCGGTGGGAAAAGTGAAAAACAAAGATATATTAGGCAAAAGAAAAGAAATAATCATTAGTCTATGCAACATTGGATACTGGGGTCCTGAGTATAAAAGAGTAAAAAGATATCCTAAGGATCCTTGAAATACATAGTTAAGTGTCAATGTAGAGAAGGTCCCTCCACTGTCCCAAAGTGCTGTGACATCGAGAGACAGCATACTGTAGATTAGGGAAGGACGATCAGACAGCGGAGGTGATGTTAAGTATCGCACAGTTGCCATATTCACTTGATAACCAGCAACCACAACAGCCAAGCTCGCAACTACTAGATAAACTTGTATTAAGCGTTGAGAACTCAGCAGAAATGCCACCGTTGCTATTATATATACTGAAAAATAAAAATAAAAATGAGAAACCAGACCCGATAAAATATTAAATAAATGTAGAGTAAAATATAACACAATATTTAAGATGTACTGTATATTATATATTTGCTGAGAAAAAATAACTATTGTATCCTGTTATAAATCACAGTAGTCATGACTTCTTAGAACAAAATTACTTTAAGTACATCTACTTGGTTTGAGAACATATAAAAGGCTTGATAAAATAGAAGTACACTTGTAAGTACTTGCACCTATGTTTCATGCTGAGAGAATGGTAATACTGTACTCTATACCAACTATCTGGATGCCGCAGTAATTGTATCCCTTGTTAATTATATGATACAATTAATTAATTCACATGCTATACAGATAAAGAGTGAAGAAAAGATAAAGCATGTGGTGCCTTTGTCATTTCTTTATGGTGTAACTTACCTAACATAAACATAAATATTTTTACTACTGTAGGTGCAATGTTTGCAAGTATGGTATAATTCTCCAATCCAGCAGTCGTATCATTTTCTGCTGCCCACATTTTCATATCATCGTGGTTAATCTGCCCAAAACCTTCATCATTGAGGAATGGATTTTCGTCACCCATTAAGCTTGCATATCTAAAAATGCAGAGTATAAGAAAAATAATAAGATTATTCTAAAGTTAAATATTAAAAACATCATTTTACAGTTAAATATTTAGATCATTATTCTACAGTTAAATACCTGTATTAAGATCATTATTCTACAGTTAAATACCTGTATTAAGATCATTATTCTACTGTTAAATATTAAGATCATTATTCTACAATTAAATATTATGATCATTATTCTACATGAGAGTTAAGAATAAAGGATTATATGTAAGATAATCTTCTACTCTAACTATCAGACAAAGTTGGAGCACTAAGGCCAATAATGAGCATGTTCCATGGGTTATGGACATTATGATCACTACAGATTATACAAAATGTATGATAAAAATCATACATTTACATTTTAAGAGGGAACCCATACACATACCTACATACGTACATAGACATATGTACACACACACACACACACACACATACACACTTATTATATGGAGGTCCCCCTCCCCCAAAGGTCACACTACTGACCCTTCCCAGGTTGCAACCCCCCCCACAAGCTGACTAAATCCTGGGTACCTATTTACTGCTAGGTGAACAGCAGCATTAGGTGATAGGAAATGTGCCCAACCATTTCTGTCCTAATCGAGATTCGAGCCCAGGATTTTCAATCGAGAGTCGAGAACGAACCCGACTGTACTACAGAGACCACTCTTCAGGATACAACTAACAACAATCAACTTACTCCAAAGTACCTAATTACTGTTAGTTGAACAGGTGCATTAGATGTAAGGAAATGTGGCAAATTTCACTTCCCATGTGGGAAGTGAACGTAGGACCAATTGGTTTTAAGTAGACTTTGCTACAGGTGAAGTGCATTATAACACAGCCTTAAAATTACAAGATCACTTTTTTTATTGCATGCATACAACAAGTCTGTAACATACTTGGGGGCGAATTATTCTTAAAAGTTTGTTCTCTCACCTCACTTGTATAGATCCAGAAAACCCAAAACAGCATTTAAGGACCTCGTCCATGATAAAGAGAGGGGGAACCCTGAGCGCAGTGTCTATAAAGCTCAGAGCCTGAGCCTGTAGGGTCATCTTGCTGCTCACACCTCCAAAATAAATATATAAATAACAGCAGGCACTTAAATAGCGATTATAGAGCAATATTTCACTCGTCCTTCACCCGTCCAATGTTTGTTTACAATTCTCTGCTGTGCAACATCTTTTCTAAATCCAGATCAAGTAATAAATAAAACACATAAGAAAATTAATAGTTAAAAACCTCTAATAGATTTTAAATAATGATAAAATTAGTAAATCAATAGGTAGAGTATTTATATTTCTTATTTAAAATGAAGCGTGAATTGTTTAACTACATTAGTGTGGGGGTCACATAGTGGAGATCCCGGCGTGTTCAGACGCATCCTACTTGATATTTTCATCACTAATAATTCATTTAACAATGAATTATTAGTTCAACTGACAAGCACAGTTCGACAATTACGAAACGGCTGAACAGTTAATATCTTACAAAAGGTATATATATAATCGATCTGTCTACAAAAATACTTAGAGGAATGAGTTAAATCAATATCAGTACTCTTTTTTTTATTATTAACAAGCTTGGATATACTTAGCAATGTGCTGCTACCCAACTATATTTGAAAAATTGCAGTGTAGATAAAAAAAAAACAGCTATAAGCGTTTCATAGAACTTACGCGCAGTGTTTCTGCCCGAAACGCTGTGCATGTTAGTGGCTTTACATGAGTGTAAAAACATCAATGCTATGTATTCTCATAAACCCAATGTACAGTCCTGTATATATAAAAATAAATTAATAAGTTTATCTAATATTCTCATCTCACGAGATGGTTAGTCATACATGGAATCAGGACGGAACATGAAATGTAAGGCCTCCACTAGCGAAATCTGGTTCAGCACAAGAATATATTCCAATATTCCTGAGTCTATGAAGTAATTACAGAGCTCAAAGTACCTCAACCATTTGGTCTAAATCACTGATAACAGGACAATCACAGATATAGTGTTGTGAGCATGTCCTAGCTCTGGTTCTGTTCTCAAAGTTTACAGTTGGAATGTTCACTATTGGAGGATTCATTACCTGCAGCCACCTGCCAGAGATATCCAGCCTATTTCAAGCAATTATAATGTCACACTGTCTAGTGGATGTTGTTTGCTGCTCGTATATATAATTTCGGTTCTAAACATGGCATAGCTCTTTATACTCGTACTTGTTGGCCCTTGAGTGTCAGTAACTGCCCTTCTGTCATCTCTAATTTCACGCTTATCACATGCAGTTTACAGTCCCCGTGGCGCAGTGGTAAAGCACTTGCCCGGCGTTTCCTGGGTTCGTATCCTAGCTGGGGAGGGTTGACTGGGCGCCAATCCTTAACTGTAGCTTCTGTTCACCCAGCAGTGAATGGGTGTTGTTAAACGATTTGGTGAGTCGTTCCGGAAAAAAATGGGATTAAGGACCTGCCCGAAACGTTATGCGTGCTATAGTGGCTGTATAAGAATTTCAAAACTCTTGTATATATAAATCAAATTCAAATAATTTTTTTTTTAGTTCCCTTGTCTGTGTCGTCATGCTGGACAACACCTGTGTGAGATGGTATCCATACAAATGAGACTGAAACTCTTGCTATGTGCATTAATAACCTTGTTTATTATACATGTTACAACATTCCTAGTATCTATTTTGCATGTTGGGTTTCTAAGGACTTGAAGAGCTGACTTTGAATCACAGAAAATTACTCCTCCACTGTTGTTCATTGCATTAGTGGCAAGTTGTAGTGCAGCTAATTCTGCATGTATGGAGCTAAGCCAGTTAGTTATTCAGCCTCACACTTGTGGTCTGTGTACATATGTTGTCTTTGTATATTCTACAGGCTGCTGCAGTGAGACCTTCTGACATCAGTACTTAACATAACACAAATAAAACAGCTAAATTTTCATGTAATTATTATAAAATCGAACTAAACCAAAGCATCCTAATTCCTGTTGTCAAAACCTCACTACTTCGAGAAATTAAGATTGACAGAAAAGAAATTTCAAATAGTACTATAGTTCAAAGAAAGCATTAGCATTACATATATAATTTACCTGAATTTACCTCAGTCACTCTCTCCTTAATAGCTTCGACAGGGACAGGAAGCCGACTTCTTGCCAAAAGGTTCCTCAGGAGGAGGTCTTTGTATTTTTGAAATTCTGTTGCAATTTATGTTCCATTCAACATGTAAATATTGTCATTCTTTTTTCTCCCCCATTTTTTTCAGTTCTATTCATGCTTTCGATCTCAATTAGTTTTAAGTCTTAGTTTTTAAATGTGTTTCCCACATCTTGCCCTATACGCTGTGCGTATTAGTGGCTTTAGGCATAGTACATTATATTAGCTGTATCTAGAAATTTAACATTCTGTTTGTAACTCATTTTGTATGTATGTACTTTTATCTGAATAAACATTATTATTATTTACAGCTTGGGTGGGTATGCGATTCCAATTTATAACCCTATCAGTGAAAAAATCTCATGCTAAGCAGTCTTACATTTCGTCATGTTGAGTTTGAAGCTGTTGCTCCTTACTTGTGTTATATTCGACCATTTATTGAAGTGGCCTGTCTTAATATCCTCCAACTTATTCAGTATGTTAAAAGCCTCGATCAGATCAGCCCTGTCATGGCCAGTTTACAGTGTTGTCCATCCCGTGTGGCCCTCAACTGTTCTTGGTATGAGAGCTGACGTCTTTTTTTAAAGTGAGGTCTCCATGGGGGACCTTTGACAAGCCACCAGCTTCCTGTCCTCGTTGAGGCCACTAGAGACAGTAGTTTTTTTTTTTTTTTAGTAAATTTAGGTAAATATAGAAGTCCAGATAGAGGCGCACCAGAGACTTAATTATACTGTTGAATAACCATTTTCCTCGAAGTCAAAGATTCGTTTGGCTTTATTTTTTATTGCAGCTCCCTGCTCTTGCTATGCAACTTTCAATAACAGGTAGATCCTAATTCCTCTACGTCTTTTCTGCATAAATATGATGTTTGGTAGAGTTGGTGATATGATAGTTGTGATGTGTATTGCTTTGCTGTATATGCATAACGGTCTTGCATCTTTCAATACTGAAATTAATTTACCAGTCTTCTGACTTTTTCTAGATATCTTTTTAATGCCTCTGTAACCCTTTCCACTACCGCCCACAAGATGGGTATGGGGTGCATAATAAATGAACTAAACAAAACTAACTCTTTTTTAAGGGCTCAATATTGTTTTCGCTTCCAACTTTATCATATATCTTATTGTCACATTCAGTGTAAAATTTGATACAGTGTAAATTTGATAAAGTGATTTGTAGTATTATCATCTTTGTCATTGATGTACATGACAAACAAGATCGGTCCGAAGATGAAACCTTGGGTACCCCACTCACCACATTTTCCCATTCTTTTCCATATAGGACAACCCCCGCCCGCTTTTTTTAGCCATTGTTTTATCTATTTTAGTGTTTGACATTTCTTACTTTTTCGAAAACTTTAGAGAAGTTCATAAATATTACATTCACTGAAAGTCCTTTGTCTGAATAGCCACGGTTACAATTTAAATAGGAGCAGGTCCTTTTGTGAGAATTCAATTTCTTTCTTTATTATGCACCCCATACCCATCCCGTGGGCGGTGGTGTAAAGGATTACAGAGGCACATAATCGGTTCAGGAACTGAACCCTCTAGTTCGTTTAGCTAAGCAAATAACAATCTTTTGACGCTAGTTACAAAACTATTAATGTTATATATACATGTACACATACTCATGCATACATGTACATATACATACGTATACATATATACATACACATACATATTTAATCACCCACACAAATACACACATCAATAATCTTTTGTGTCACAAGTGATCAACAAGAGGCTCACAACAGTCACTATACAAAGCACTTTACATCTATGGTGAGTCACACAGTTACTAGTCTTGCTCCACACCCACCCAACTGGGCGGCAGCTTTACAGTCATGTGCATTCATTACCTACAGTAAGCAAACTTTGGATACTTCGCTAAGATTTCGGGCAGCACATCATTATGAATGAAGTACTTACACATTTCTTGGACACCATTGATGGAACTATTTCAGCTTTTCTCAGTACTACACTCTATAATTCAGTTTACAGTATATTATAGAATACGTAAATCGTGCGGTCTACAACATATTATAGGCTACTGTATAGTGTGCAGTCTATAACATATAGACTACCGTATAGTGTGAAGTTTACAACATATTATAGGCTTTGTATAGCATGCATTCTAAATCATATCTAGGCTACATTTTACCGTGCGATCTACAACATATTTATGCTATACTTTATCGTGTAATCTACAACATATTTTGGCTGCACTTTACCGTGTAATCTACAACATATTTAGGCTACACTTTACCGTGCGATCTACAACATATTTAGGCTACACTTTACGTGCTATCTACAACATATTTAGGCTACACTTTACGTGCTATCTACAACATATTTAGGCTGCACTTTACCGTGCGATCTACAACATATTTAGGCTGCACTTTACCGTGCGATCTACAGCATATTTAGGCTGCACTTTACCGTGCGATCTACAACATATTTAGGCTACACTTTACGTGCTATCTACAACATATTTAGGCTGCACTTTACCGTGCGATCTACAACATATTTAGGCTGCACTTTACCGTGCGATCTACAACATATTTAGGCTGCACTTTACCGTGCGATCTACAACATATTTAGGCTGCACTTTACCGTGCGATCTACAACATATTTAGGCTGCACTTTACGTGCTATCTACAACATATTTAGGCTACACTTTACCGTGCGATCTACAACATATTTAGGCTACACTTTACCGTGCGATCTACAACATATTAAGACTACAATCCTCCTCCTTTACAATCTACAACATATTTAGACTTCAATATTTTAGGCGTACGGTCTACAGTTCATAGTAATTATTATTCGTATTGACAAAACACTGAATATGATTTGGACAGAGTAAATATGGTTTGGGTAACAACAGGATTTTAGGATGGTGACTATAAACATATATAATTGGATACCGGATATAATGTATCCTGTGTTGATTATACCACGTAGCTCCACAACTTGACATTTGTTTAATATATCTTGTATATAAATCATATGTGTAATCCTTAAGTT